TATATATATATATCACAAGAATCAAAGAGCTGTACTTAGGAATTTAAATCTCTAGTTGCGTACTACTTCCTACTTGTCCGGAAACCGGGGCGGAGCTCGAAGCTAGAATTCCGGAACGCATAGCCTTAGTTCAAACCATGTACTCCCTCCGTTCACTTTTACTCTACCCGTTTTGTCTTTACCCGTCTCTTAACAAATAATAAATAAAGTATATAATTTACCATAATACCTAATTGATGCATATTTTATTGAATTTAAAAAAATAATTTAAAATGAGTAATAAATATGATGGATATAATAGAGAAAAAAATTTATCTTCTTTTAATATGCGTAAAGTGATAAGTAAAAATAAAAATTATTTTTAATATACATGTCAAGTAAAAGTGAACGGAGGGAGTATTTATCAAAAAAAAATTCATCGAATTTATTAATTTAAAATTCAGTAACTTAAACAGAGTAAATTTTTGAATTCTTTTTTATTATACTCTTATCATTAATTATCCATTCTTCAAATTATTTTTCAAGACATGTAAAAGTTTATCATTATAAACTGTAAAATGGTAAAATATATACTTTATTTATTTTTACTTAAAAAGAAATGCAAAATAGTATCATTATGGGTAAAATTGTAAAATATGTATTTTATTTTTTTAAGAGAGAGCAAAGTCAAAAGTGGATAACTAAAAATGAACGGATAGAGAACTTTACACCTGTACAATCTTTAGTGAGAACAATTATTATAAAAGATTGTAAATTGCGACTAAATATCTATCTATTATTAAAAGCAAAGAAGTCAGCCATGAGAATTTGCCAAGTGTCGGATGAAGAGGATGCCATGTGCCAATTTTAAGACAGTATATTAGTTAAATTAGGTCAATTTAGTTTATTTTTTGAATTTTTTGAATTTGAATTTCAAAAAAATAAAAGACATTCTGAAATTAAAATTATATTATGAAACCCACCCCTAATATAACTCCTCCCCTAATATAACTCCTCCCCTCCTTGCGCTTTGACCTAAAAAGTAAATATTCTTACATATTCGGTTCCCACGATGATGCTTCATTCCCATGATCTCAAACCACGATTTCTAACTCCTATCCCACCAACTCTTCGGCGGGAATTGTGAGTAACATGATTTCACAGCCTTTTGAAATCATTTTTCTACTTTTACAATAAGTAACTCTTTCTCCCTTATGCACATCAAGCAAGAATTCTGGATAGAAGCTATTAAGTCTTTTCCATTATAAGTTCACTGCACCATGTTGTCATAGATGATTTGATACATTATAGGTATAGTATTGCTCTCCTACTAATTGATATTGTTTTGTTTGATATGCGTTTATGAAGGTATGTTTGCTTTGTCGTCCACACAGCCATAACTCAATAGCTTCTATAATTTTTCATTTAAACACAATTCCTAATTAGTAGCAGATTTGGGTCTATCTATTGTGGGATGTTACAGTACTGGGGAAACAAGTAATTCTTTGACTAACTACCCCAATCCGCTTTCATAATTTTCCACTTTTCATTCTTTCCGCTTCTTTATTTTATGTTCTAAATTGTATTTTGCGTTAATTTGAGTTACAAGAGGCTTTGTTGTACTTTGTCGAAACATATTTTAAGGTCTTGGTTGAAACTCTGTAAATTCTTGAAAATATACCAACATACAGGAAATATAATCAATTATGATTTTTCTTCAGTTGGAATGATTATATGATAAAAGTTTTAAAAGGATTATCTACAGAAACTATAGAACAATGCATATGAGTGTGTTGACACTGCTGACTCTTTTTTATTCTCGATACTTTGTTTAAGATATATTTTATATTTTGATTCATATTGCAGTAATGTAAATCACCTTACTCTGCATAAGTGTCTTTATTTTGATTCACACTTCTACTCAATTAACAGAGGAGTTAATGGCGGCTGAAAGTAATTTCATTAGCGAAATTAACAGCAAGTCAATGAACTGAAAATTGAAGGTTCGTATCCTGAGGTTATTGATGAAAAGATTATGCTTTTAAATTTTATACTTATGTTTTTCATTGTTTGCATATGCATCAGTTAAATAGTCATTTAACTAATTGAGTATTTTTGCAGGAAGACCGCATTTACGCAAGTGTTGGCATATCTCTTATCCAAAGGTTCAACGAACAAATTAAGAAAATAGGTTTGTATGTTATGAAGAATTTTGTGGTTTGTCCAAATAATATGAAGCTTAAGACCAAAGACCACAAGTTTAAGTTGATATTCACGCAGAAGATCAATGTTGAGGAAATAAAGGATCCATATTTCAACATGTGTATCTTTAAAGTTAGACCTATGAGCAGCTGTCAAATTCACAAAAATTTGACAACAGTAAATTATTCGGTAATTAAATCTTCTCATTTTTTCCAGTTGTATTTTATTTTTCATGATCTGTTTTCTATCTTTTGAGAACTAAACCAATCCCAATTATAGTGTCAGAAATCAAAGCTTAAGTTTTAGATTAAAGTTGAATGACTTGATTTTGTTAGATTCCTTAAGCATTTAGGTGGACGGTTAGTTTTGCTTGCTGTAGCATTATCTCTTCTTTTTTTTGTAAGTTATTCCATCCTCTGGATCCTTTATTAAGAAGAAATAAGATAAGATACTTGGGATCTATTTATTTTTCAATACAATCCTAATTACAATACCTTATATTAAAACTTAAGTTTTAGAATAAAGCTGAATTTCTTGATTTTGTTAGATCCTTAATTATTTAAATTGGCGTATTTTAACGATTTGGAGTACTGCCTCTGATGTGGCTGATTTCATCGAATAAAGGTGGCTTATGTTCAATTACTCAAGTATATCAAGATTACACTTCACGTTAATATGGTGTGCAACTAGAAAGGGAGTGACGATGCCATTTTTTGCCATATGTACGACTGTGATATATGAATTCTTTTTTACTCTTCATGAAGATAGATAAAAACTTAACAAAAGAGCAGTCATCGCCAAATGTTTGGATAAGTTTGAGCTTTTATATAGCAATTTAAAGTATATTTGAGCCAATGATTTGCAATTGTTAATTTTTATGTTAACTCAAATTATTCTCACTGAAATATTATATTATAAAGTTTTTAGTCGGCTCTTAATGTATTTAGTTTTTTAACTTTTAAATGACACATAATTATCAGACACCCCTCTGCTAAGTATAAAAAATACTCTAATATGTAATATTCATCACCTTTTCTTATTATCAGTTTATGATGAGATATTTAATTGGAAGTGGAAAACATAAATTCTTAGTGGTGTTTATTTTCAAGAAGGTATTCATAGATAAAGTATAGTCTATAAAATTAATATACGATAATTCATACCTAAGTAATTCCCCTGTATTAGATGTAGTATGAACAAATCTAAGGATTTTCTTCTTCTTGATTTTCTTGCAACAAATAGAAATATAGACAGTATACCTTATATCATTGTCTCTACTCCTCTTTTCAGGGCTCAATTTTCTGGTGTTGCTGGTTACGTTGTCATATGGGTATCAATACGTGCTAATGTTTGAATATCAAGTGTAACAAAACGATCTGCTCGAGAGGCTTTGCAGGTTCTTTTTTCACTTCTCAAAATAATGTCAACATCAGCAATACTAAGGTCCTTTGTTGTATAAATTGACTTGAGATCTTTCTGATGTAGATAGTTGTCCGTGCTGGTGGATTTTCAGCATTGGTAGTCGTTGGAATGTCTGTAATGGGTGTTTCCATCATTTATGCAACTTTGTATGTGGTTGGGGTGGATTTTTTATCTTCTCTCCTATCATGCTAGCGATAAATTATGTGTTGATTGAACTTGAGAATAGGGTGTAAATAATAGCAACTGCTTGGCTCTCTATCTTTCCATCTATAATGCACTTTTTCATATTAAACAACTTTACAAGGTATAGTTTAAATATTTCTAAACCACATGAATGATTGGGCAGGCATACTATATATTGGATGAACTTGTGATTGCTGGTGAATTCTAAGAATCAAGCAAGAAAACTGTTGTACGTCTTATTGCTGCACAGGTATTCTTGATTGCACACTCAATGATGCATTCGTAGGGTAACGATACAATATTCTTTACTGATCTTCAAACTGAATCCTATCAACAACTTGCAGGATTCTTTGGTCGAGGCTGCCAAGGAAGAGGCAAGTTCTATTAGTAACATTCCCGCACAGGCGTTTCACTAAAACAAAGTGTAGCACAATAGAAGGTGATGTCTTAATTATTATGAATTGCACATATATTTAAATATGCTTTATTAATCATAACTTTAGAAAAAAAATTCTGCTTTTTCAGGTGGACTAATCCTTTTAAGCCAAGTACTTTTTTAGCATTATTCCAGTATATTGCAAAAGCTCAGCTATCCAAATGTACAATTCGCTGGTGAGTAAACTTGCAAGGTATCACCTACAAAATGGAATATAAAAAATACGAGCAGGTATTGTTCAGAGTCCAGATCATACAATACCAATATGGAGAGTTGAGCACTCACCAATTATGAAAACTCCTAAGATTATAACATATAAGTTAGAAGAGTTTCCTGATGGCAAATGCATGCTGATCTCCAACTCAAAAAAATAGATTCATGGAGTCGTCATTACAGAGAATATCTTCTTGCAAATTATATATCATATGGTAGAATTCACATTTTTTGTAATAGAAACAATAATTTTTCCATCAATGTGAAAGGCCTGCACCTTATAATTCAGTGTTGGAATCAATATAGATACAATTATGGTCTTACAGAACAACATTGGCGAGGGATATTAAAAGGACCATCTGATCTTTCTCTGCTGCTCGGACCATTTTATTTTTCTATACTGCTCTTCATTGATACTCTGTCATTCATACCACAAAGTGATGAAGCTACATATACAGTAGCACATCAGTAAAAAAATTCAGCTAACTTCGACAGCTGAATTAAGAAAGATAAATACTTCATCTATTTGTCAAGTTGCTTCATTTCATCAGTGAACACAAAGAAGGTGAATAATGAACTATTATTCAATGTGACTTCTTTCCTTATAAATTGTACTCAAAACTTGATGTTTAATTTTTTTTTAATTGTTTATAGGTCTTGGAGAGCACCATACGTCTAAGCTATCTTCACAGCTATCCTAGAATAGTACTGTCATTTGGTCTTGATCATACTTAGGCCCCAATATTAGCCCCAATAAAATTCATCTATTTGTTTTTTATTAATTCATTTGAATTTGATCCCTAAATTTTTAATCTGCAATATATATATATATATGTATGTTTCTATTATATCTTTGCTCTTTTTTTATTTGACTCGATCCGCGTACGTATACTAATTTTATTTTGACAGAAGAGCAAGAATCTTTAAAGTCAAATGATATAATTGGAGCAAGTATTTATTTAATTTTTCAGTTGAAACTAACAATTAACAAACTCCAAAGTGTCACGTTCACAAAGTGATACAACCGACAGTAGACAAACTTTTATAATGAGGCGGCCCCATATATTATCACGAGAAAAAGTTGTGCCTTGTGAAAGTGAAAGTCATTCATAAGGACACAAAAGGCAATAACCTGCCAAAAGAGAAACGTGAAAGTGAAAGTCATTAGATTCACATGTTATGATTCACGGAAATTGAAGTTCAATTTAGGATTTTATTTAGGTGAAGGAATGAGAGTCACATTTTGGCCAAGTTTTTAAAATCAATTTATTTTAATAAGTATTGTTTCTTAAAAATGATTTTTTGCAAAAGTATTATTAGTAAGAAATAGTTTGTATTTGATTAATTAATTTAAAAATCACTTCTGAGTAACAATTAGTGTATGACAAAACTTTTAAAATGTGCTTCTAAGTGTATTCTTCTCAAAATTGCTTTTAAAAAAAATACTTTTGGAGAGAAACTATTTTTTTATGCTTCTCCAAAACTATTTATGCTTCTACTCAAAAGTATTTTTTTCTTCTAAAAACTTTGCCAAATATTTTAACTTTAAAAATAAAATAAAAAATATTTTTTTATTGAAAAGAATACTTTTGGCAGTTTTGAGTTTGAAGAAGCTTGGCCAAATAGATTATTGAACTCATCTAAGCAAATAAAGGATTTAAAGTTAGGAATTGTTATGATGAGATCCTTAATAGGATTTTTTTGTTTTCCCCGATGTCCAGTGTCTGTTTAGGCCTAACTAATAAAAATTCATATTGTAAATAAAGTGTTTCCTACCGAAAACGACTTTATTTTCTGAGTTCAAAGCTGAGACTTTTGGTTGGTTAAGATGGAAGCACAACTTTGGTGTTCTTATTAATAACAGAACAATCAGTTTTTTTTGTTGGTTTCTCGTTCGGTGTTCGATACTCGTATTGGAGCTCGACTATATTCGGATTAGCGTCGTGTAGGGCCCCATTCGGGGGGAAACGCTCCCTACTAAAGATTTTTCCATACCCAGGGCTCGAACTCGAGACCTCATCCACTGCACCACATCCTTTAGTGGTAAACAATCAGTTTTGGTTTTTTAGATCAGCTAATCTTCGTCCTTCTCTTGCTGTAGCCATTACATCTCACGAATGAAAGTCAACAGATATTGAGAGCATCATAAAGACTTTCCTCTGTTGTTTGTTACTCCCTCCTTCCTGATTTATGTATCACAATTCGGATTTTGAGAGTGAAACAAATTTTTCTTTATTCCTAATATTTTTATATATCTTTTAAATATTTTGAATTGATAATTATTGTAATTTAATGTATCTTTTACATAGTTCCCAAATATATAATCTATTTTAAGAAAGTTAAAGATTTTATGTCTGAATTTATGATCAAAGTTAACAAGCTCGACTCTCAATATCTGAACGGCACCTCATAATTTAAGACTCTTAATTTATATATATCATCATCATATCGTACTATGTTATAAATGTGAAGTCTTAAAGTGAAAGTTAAAAGACTAAAAAGTCCATATAAAATGAATAGACCTTTATGTCCTCTAAAAGTTATATTATTACCTTACAAATCAAAAAGTTAATTAACCAAACTTAATTCTTTGGCAGTAAATTTAAAAAATTACAATGAATGATACAATATAGTTCAGATTTTAGAATTAAAATCGAATCTGGTTAGTCATTGCTATTTAAGATATAGACCAGATTCAAAATTAAAAATTGAATTTGACTAGTCATTAACCGGATTTAGAATTAAAATTGGAATTTGAATCGTCATTGTCTACTGCTATTTGGAAACCAACTTACACAGCTGGATACTAACCAGCAAAAAAATGAAAGAAGTTGCAATTCAACTTGAGAAGAAAAGAAAATTAAAAATTATGAATGAGGGTCTAGGGACAATAAAGAAATTCTCGCAGCTATAAATGAAGAAAATCGATTTATCATGGGCTTTAGAAACAGTACACATGAAACCAAATTTGTCATTTTCTTCTTCTTTCACTTTTATATTTTGATGTAATTTGCCTTTTAAATTTATGAACTTTCTTTAAGTGTATTATTTGCCTTTTAAATTTCGTAAAAAGTTCATTTAAGATACAGGCAAGTTCTGTTCCAACAAAGTGCTTTGATAGTATACTATAAGACTGCTTAAGACAAATACATAGGGTATCAAGCGTTACAACGATATATGTGAAATGCATGGTTAGAACTACAAATTTTTTCTAATAATCTTGTTGAAAAGTTATAAAAGAAAATTGAACAAGATAGAAGCTATGTCATTATATATGGCTACTTAACGGGGTTAGTTTAAGCTTTTTTATTTCTCCACATTGAGCTTGGTTACTTTTAGGAGGTGTTCATGGTTCGGTTTGGCCGATTTTGGATTAAAACCAAAACTAAACCAATTTAATCGGTTTTTAAAATTTTAAAACCAAAACCAAACCAAATTACATACAAACCATCGGTTTGGTTGTTGTTGGTTTGGTTCGGTTTTTCGGTTCTTAATAAGCTAATGATAAGTCGATAATAGTAAAACAACACTAGACAACAATCTGAAAATAATTTGCTAAATTTATGCTTTTTTATATATTTATTTCGGAACTGAAAGTTTATTTACCTGTTTATACGAAAAAAATGAACAAAAAACAAACTAAAAGTTTACTTTCTCAAGCTTTAGCTACTATAGTCTTGCAATTTGAGTTTGTTTTCTTTACTCTTGTCGTAGATTTTTTTTTCCTAACTCTTTTATTAAGAAAAAGTATGTGTGTAGGTTAGAGAATTAGATTCTCTTAAGGAAAAGAAAATTGGTCGATTCCTATTCTTTTGGGCTTAGGCAATCTTTTAAGATATAAGTAGGATAAATCAAAATTTAAAATAATAATTAAAATGCATAAAGTATTTAAAATTATTTACGAAAAGATATTATGTCATATATCAATAATTATTCATATTTTTATATAATTAATCGGTACGGTTCGGTTTTTTCGGTTTTTTATAATAAAACCAAAACCAAACCAAATATTATCGGTTTTTAAAATTTAAAACCAAAACCAATCCAAATCAAGAAAAATATCGGTTTACTTAATCGGTTTGGTTCGTTTTTCGGTTTGGATCGATTTTCTGTCAAACCGTGAACAACCCTAGTTACTTTTTAAATGGAATAGTAGTTATGTCTTTATCATTTTCTTTCTTGTTTTTTCTAAAATAGATCTCCTTATAGAATCAAAGAAAGAGAAATTTTCATAAAGCACTATCTTTTAGTGGTAATTAGCTATTTATAGATACCATTTACTATATTATGGATTGTAGATACGTTTTCTGTTGTTATAAGATGTATTAGATGTATTTACGCTACTGTATTCATGAATACAGTAGCAAAAATAGGCGTGAATCAGGGAAGTTCAGCTAATCAGTTGTTGTATTCGAGTGTATTAGACTGTATTCATGACGTTAAACATGGGATTACAGTTGGACATATTATTGTATTTGACTGTATTCACAACGTGAAACATGGGATTACACTGTTTTTAAATGGAAAGTAATTCAATTAACATAATAGACTCCTAATATAACTCAACAAACTCAATTATAATACACAAAATTTGTATTTCCAGTTATAAAAAAGATTCTCAACCAAAAAATACCCCAAACACATAGCAATCTTCAGAGAAATTATATAATACATCTGAATACATAAATTATATTAATTAAAAAAAAACATATGGATACATTCATGGCATGTAACGAGACAGTAAATACAATGAATTACATAGAATACAATGGGATACATTGAAATAGAATTAAAAAAAACAGTGAATACAATGAAATACACGAAATTCAGCGAGATACATTGAATTACAATGAAAAAAATATAATGAATACAATGAAATACATGAAAATACAGAGTGATACATTGAAAATATATTGAAATACATTAACAGAAAATCAAGTTGCTCAGCCCCAAACTCCGTCGTCTTTGTTCAAGAACATACCCTAATTTTCGGCGAATCCATCGTCAAGCAAAACCCCTGAATCTCACTGAGCAGAAATTCGGATCTACATAGACAACAACTTTTGAGAGTAGCTCGGTGACAAAAGCTTTGAGCAGTAGACCATGAAGTTTTGCCAAAAGAAGACAAGTAAATCGGCTATACTGTTTATGCTTTCTTCTCTTTAGTTTATCTTATTTTGCAACGTGACTTCTCGTGAATTGAAAACGAGGACAAGAGACACGAAATGTGGGATTTCTCAGCGTTCCTTTTATCACCGTGATGACCCATCGTGAACTTGAAATCACCGTTTGTGACTAATGGTAGGTGATGTGGGTGAGAGGAATTTTGAGATTGAACATCGTATTTTCAGGGAATAGGGGAAGAGAATGGCATGTATCAAAGTAGTGAGAGAAAGAAAATAGTATTACTGAATAGCTTATTTAGTGATTTAGGGGTAGGAGGTAACCAAAATTAGATATTTTGTTATAAATATTAAAAGGTATCTATAGAATATATTTTTTTAAAAATAAATAAGTTGTTAACCTTTGCTATAGGAGGTAAAAATTCCATTAAAGAACGATAAAGGATGATGAAATATCCAAAACAAGAGATACATAAACCTAAAATTCTTCCGACTAAAATATGTTGACAGAATACATCGGCAGCCCATTAAATTTGTCCTCACGTTCCATGATAACACTTAATCTTGAGTCTGTTCCATTTGAAACCTATAACAAGGTTATTACTGTGTCCTTAGACACAAAAAACACACTGGCCACCTTGCCCGGGAATCACAGATGTTAAGCGCGTGCATTATAAAAAAGCTGACATGGACTATTCTAACAGTAATAAACTAAACCCCACGTTATTTTCCTTATTTTAACCCCTTTCTCCATTGTTCTCTTCTCCCAAGCCCTAATTTTTCACCATTTCAACTGAGCTAAATTCTTCATCAAGTAGTGAAAACCGAAGCTTTTTTTTTTTTTATCAATTTAAAGAATTTCATCCTCCTTAGTCGAATTTTTGACATAATCTTTCATGCTAGCTTCTCTTAATTTATGTTCGAATAATGTCCCAAAACACCGAAAGGGTTGACTGTTGTGGATGTGGTCGTCCGTGTGAACTGAAAATTTCATGGAGTGTTGCTGACCCAGGAAGAAGGTACTTTGTATGCAAAATTAAAGTAAGTATATTCCGCCAAAAATTCTTTTATGCGATTTTATTTGCCATCGATTTATATCCGTTTACTTTTTTATTTTTTGAAGGACAATGGTGGATGTAATTATTTTAGATGGTTAGAGGATGAGTTTCTTGGAAAGCGAATAGATTTATATGGGGCTTGTTGAAGATAGTGAAGGCCAAGAAAGAGACCGAGCAAAAAAATGGAGGAACATAGTACTATTTGTTGTTCTACTAGTGGCGTTGATCATTTGGCTTTGTTGTGGTTTTTACTCTAGTTGACGAGAATTGTTCTATTTGGTTTTGGTCTATTATGAATTTCTGGGAAAATCGTTTGTAATTTAGGCTATTTAATGTAGTTAGTGCCTAGTGTTGGGATCCTATTTTGTGTAATTTATGTGATTGTTGCTCTTGTTTTGTTTATTGCTGATGTACTTGGGATGGTTGGGATCTTATTTTGTGTAATTTTATACTGTCTTATTAATGCAATGTATCTTTATTTTGTTTTAAAAAATTGTAATTCTTTAGTGTTTACTGCTGCTGTACTCGTATCAGTTGTTTTTGTTTAGTTGTTTCTGTTCAAAAATGTATCAGCTGTTTTTTCATCAAAAATAGTGCAAATCAAAGATTGTTCATTGCAAATGCCTTATGAATGGAATGGAACTTAGTTCATACCAAATGATAAAAAAAAAGTGCAGCAAATTACATTGAACCAAAAGTAAGTTTAGACACAAAGAAGTGTTGCATATTACATATCCAGTTCCAAAAGATAAAATTAAGTGCAACAAACTACATTCAACACAAAAAGCAAGTTTCAACAATCATAGTGCTGCATATTACATAATCTTGACTGGTCACTAATTTTTTTGACTAGTTTATCCATAATCACTTGAGTTGAAGATTGAGCTGGTGCTTGTGGTCTAACTTTGTTTCTTCTACTTGCACTCATTTGGTGCAGTTGTGAAGTAGTAATAGCATCTCTCCCATTCCATCTAAGTCCTAAAAGCCTAATTCCGTCATCCGATTTACATCAGTGGTGCTTCTTACTCTAGTCCCATGGTTGACAACCCTTTCACTAGAAGTACTAGGCTGCAATTGTCCAAAACCAGAAACCTAAGCAAGTAAAAATTTAAAATAACTAGAATTGAAATATGCAAGATTCTTATATTAAGGACTGTCCTTTCAGTCTATGTGTTAGTGTAGCATCCAAAGCCAACAGTTCTTGGCCTTTTTTCCCTAGAAGCAGCAGATGATTCTGCAGTTGCAGGTCCACTTTTCCTTCCCCCTTTTCAAGCAGATGAAGATCATCTTGCTGCCCTTGGTCTTGGAGCTCTTCCCATGGGAGCAGTATGAGGAAGTGCATATGGAAATGCACCTTTTGTAGGTCTAATAGCTACAATAGGTGCCTTTCCTCTATTATTTGCACCAGTTGTTGTTGCTTCATCACAGATTGAACTCCTTTGAGTTGGTTGACTTGATTGACTTCCTTGTGGTTCTTGTCTACTTGAAGACCCTCCAGGTGCACTCTTAAATGAATACATACATACGGTCAATTTCGGCTTAAATGATTAATATAAAGTTAGATAAAAACATATCATACCCTTGATGTACATGCTTTTTTGTTGTGGCCTACTTGATGACAGTGTGAAGTACATGTCATCTTGAATCCTTTTTCGGATAGCTTGTCCCATTTCTTTTTAGGTTCATTCATGTCCTTCCTTTTATTTTTTTGGTGTCTGCCTGATATTGGCTTTGGGGCTGGTAGTTCAAAGGTAGAATTATTACTCTCAGGCCACATCTTCAGGTTAGGAATTGGTTGAATGAAGTGTTCATAAGCCTTTAGAAATACTTCCTTTCTGTACCAATGCTCCATATATTGATCTGGATCATCTTGTAGGTAATAGTATACACACAAAGCATGTTCACATGGGATGCCTCTCAACCTCCAAAGACTACATCTACAAATCTTCATCCTAGTGTCAACTATAAATCTCAAATCTCCTTTTTTGATTTCAAACCCATCCTGCCCATTCCATATAACTTGGCACTGTCTAGCCAAATCCTTATTTTCTTCTAATGTTAGCCTAGCCATAGGTGATATATCTGAAATTCATGGTTTGGCAAACTTTATCATATCAACCTGTCTAGACATAATCTTATGCCTAATTTCCTCTAATATGATAACAATACTTTTGTACCTAGCAGCCAATATCCATGTCAGGGACTGTAAAGGCGCATACAGTGATCGAGGGTGAAAGGACATCCCTCGATTTTGCTCACGAAGAATCGGAGGAGGATCACTATCCTCCAGAAAAAGGATGGATCTGGCCGAGGGTCACGCCATACCTCTTGCAGAAGGCGACAATGATAGGGTCTAAAGGACCCAATGTAAAAGGGTAAGATAAACACTTAGGAAACCCTTCACATGGGTAGTGATCGACTTATCAGGCGAAGGTACCACAACATGTTTATCGACCCAGTGGCACTCCTCTTTAACTTTGTCAAGGAGATCATCGGTTATCGTGCATCTATACCTCGAAATCGGTTCACATCGACCAGGTACTGAGGAGGTTTTTTCAAACCTAAAATCGTCGACAGTAGGGCAACCTCCCGGAACAAAATCCTCAATGGGAGGTTCCGTCGCCGACGGGCCGTGAAGAAGAGACACTCTTTTTGCAGTACGATTTTAGAAGTTTTTGCCATTGTAAAGCAAGGATAACAGTGAGTAAGATCACCTATGCATACTACTAATTACTAGAAACTCCAATGGTTTACTAGAGCCTTTGAGCATTTATCATATATACAACCATGTAGGGGTGAAGAGAAACATTTATAGGTACATAAAGGTACAACTGAGTCTTGGTATTTCAGATTGAATTTCCGACTGCTATCATTTCTGCACAAGGAAGAGAATTTACAAGCTGCATCCTAACATTGCTACTAAGGGGCTGCTGACGGCATTGATAAATACTGCCGCCACTCCTCCGGTATCCCTTTTTTCGATCTTAACATTTTATAGCCGAGCTGGTCAAAGGTATAACAAGAATGTCATACTCTTTAGGGGCCTACAAGATCACAATTAGGCAGCCTTTTATCTGGTAAAACAAGAGTACTGGTATTTCTGCTGACCCTTTTTGCTAAACATGATACTTCAACAGGAGTACTGCCATTTCTGCTGACCCTTTTTGTTAAACATGATACTTCACAACCCCAAACCACCTCAGAGAAGAAAAATAAAAAAGGATAACGATAAACAAGTAAAATAAATCAGGAAAAAAACAAGGAAAACTATAACATATATAAAACTATTTCCAATTAAGAAGCTTTGCCACAGTTCTGGAGCTATGAAACTACTATGATAAGAATTAGTAATACCTTAGGTTCTTTCATAAGCTTCATATTTGCTTCCTCGGGTGTCTTATGACCCTTCCTTGAGTTGCATCTGGAACAAGCAGTGACCTATTAGAAGAGATATTAATATTAAGCACCAATGTGAACTTCCAGTAGCGAAAAACTTGTGGGCCTATATATCCCATCTTTCGAGCTCAGAACAGAAGCAAGACAAATGGATTAACAGGATTTCAAACCTTTAAGTTAGGGGGGAGGGTAGGGGAGTGGGGAATACACACTATCTGAAGTGAGAACTGAGGAAAAAGGGAAGCCTCATTCAAGAGTTGCCACTTCAGATATAATGAAATGTTGTTTTGCAATATAAATCTAATTTACAACATTAATTAAATCTTTAAATTTTCTTTTTGACAAAGCAGATGATATTTATTAAGCTCATCTATTGCAATACTTTCACTAAGCTTTGAAATATTACAAGATAGTTCAAGTTGCAAAACCAAATTGCACAAAAACTGGTGCTCACGCAATAATAATCGTTAGACTAGCATCATCCATCTTCTGAGACTTGGTTCATTCTAGTTTATGAATAAAAGGGATACCTGAGGATCTTGTACATGAAAATAGTTTATCACAAATTTGTAGAATAAAAGAGAGAGAAAATAAAAGTTATAAACAGAAACGCACATAATGAATTGATCAATTTATCACGCTTGTATTTAATCCATCAATTTGCACCAAGCAATCCACCAATTCCTGGGCCATCCTATTCAATTGCACATAGAAAATGACATCAGAATTAAGGCAACAACAGCAGGATAAAAGTCATCTTATTTAAGATCAAGTGTAATCCATTTGAAGTGCCCTTCAAATAATAGCACAACTAATATATACTAAGACGAAAAAAATAGAATTTCATGATAGTTTTATCGGCTATGCACCTCCTATGCCATGCAAGCACTATTTAAGAATAACATGTCAATTCCCATCTACTTAATGTTCAAAATTGCTATAAGAAAATAACTACTCATTTCATGCCAAAAGCAGTAGCAATATGTGCTTCCACAATAAGATTCTAACTGATTTCTTGATAAGTAGTCTTACTGGCATTTTCACAAATAGGTTAGCTGCGAAAATGCTCGACTAAAATGACATATAAAACTTTGAAGCTTTTTGGCTCTAAGAGAAACAACGAGAAGCAAAAGTGTTGGATACGAGATTTATTTTTCTTTCTCTATTTCTCAAAGCAATCAAAAAATCGTGGATTGTAACTACTCTCAAATTTCAGTCCCCGATTTTTCTCTCAAATTTTAGTAGAGATTCCAACAATATAAATGCAATATGTCACAGTTAAATCTACATAAACATATGAATATTAACAATAAACACACCAAAAAAAAAGGATATCATGAACCATAAATAAGCAATTCCAAAGCAGAAAATAGATCTAAAATTGATAAGTGATTAGAGAATAGCATCGGTAAACTTGATTCTCTTCGAGAATTTGTGTCGTAGAATGGAGAAGACGAGGCCAAATAGGAAGATGCTCTTTTTGCATATTTGTGGTTTACAGAGAGGGAATAGATGATTAGGGCAATGTGAGCAGATATATTTTATTTTTCATCAAACGGAGGGAACATTTAAAATGAAATAATTGGAGGGAACTGAAATATGACTAAAAGGAATGTTTCAATTATTGACCTTCACCGGCTATTTCATACAATTGCCGGCAAAAATGTACCTTTTTGTGGCTATAGCTTATCTGCCGGTATTATTTGGTCTAGAGAAATAAAGTAGCGGCAATAATGTTATTGCCATTGAATAATTGCCGGTAAAAGCCATTTTTGTTGTAGTGCCCATCCAAACAACATACCCATGGTGGCGTGCCACCCGATCCACACATAAAATTCACAAAAGAGTTACACACCGAGCTAGATTGCTCATTACCACAAAATAACGAATATCAGTCACAAGCACGCTAAGTGCATATTACCATCCCTGGGGAGACATATAGCGTTACAAGCTACGAACTTAAGCGCAACTGAGGTGCAATATACGATCTGAATCTCAAGAGCCATTCTGCTCATATAACATCATCACTACGCGGAACCTCAACACATAAAAAATTCACCAAGCCGTCTCACAACTCACACGGCGCAATTTATCATTACATAAAATAGCTGACGACGAAATAACACTCTGATTACTCTTCCATAAGGAGCACATTGCTGAAATGAACACATCTGGCCTAATATTGAGCCCATATTCACATTTAAATCCATCCACAGACCTCAAGCTGATTCTGATCGCACTGAACTAAGCTAATAACCTTTCAAAGGTCCATAATAACTCCCCATTTCTCATAATACATAAGAATAACCATCATAACCGGAGTAATCCTCCACAGTCCACAACCCAATAGACCGAGTGCCCTCTAGGCATCAATTCTCAATTTAACGTCATCACCACAATCTTCGTACTTGGTTTAACTCTTCAATCAATCAAGTGACTACATGCCAAACTTATACAACCTTTGTGACCAGGATGCAAAGCCTTTTTTCACAAAACACCGATCTCACGTGACACTGAAGGCAATACCCACTTACTTTAAACATCGAAACTCCTTTCCTGCTCATCCGAGCTCGTGACATCCTTGTCAACACCAAACTGCAACCTTAATCCTCAATTCAAATTCCATACCACTCAATGCACCCATCATGCCAATATACGATAGAACACGATTTTCGTCTTAACTCCGGAACCACTAATAGATTAACACTTCATCATATAAAAACCTTTCACTTAACTTACTTCAGGAGAACCATAGCAACACACAAGTGAATTCTCATAACTGTAAAATATGCAAATCTCTAAGTAGTGGTCTAAGCCACCATATCCCTTCCGGGATTCGCCTACCCATAACAGACCATAACAGTAGAATACTTCTGAATAACATCAATTACGGCAGCCGACAAGCCTCACACGTACCGTCACAAATCACTTGCATAACTTGATCATGTCGAAGGAACTAATCACTACCACCAATATGCCAATTCAATTATGGCTAGCCAATCTATCTTCGGCCAATTTATCCTTGATTGCCTTTGAAATAATAATAACACCATTCAACACATAGCTCACTCCATCCGTACTCATCCCGAGTGACCTTGAATCACGAGACCATGTTGTCTTAAATTCCACGAACTATTTCATACCTCCCTTGTGCGCACATTCACATCCTCAACTGGTACGCCCATTCTGATAATCTCTCTACGAATCCGAAGTCCTTTCTCATTTTCCTTCCCAAATGCAACACTACAAGTCAAAACATCATAAAACATTTTAGGCCTCTTCTTATAAGCTGCTACAAAGCTTGATCCTTAACCGTACCTATAGGCTTAAAATCATTAGGTACCACACTTTACCCCTTTAAATCCACCAGGACCGTTGTTGAGAGCCACTCGCTCTGACTTGGCCCCGAATATAATCTACTCCATGAATCTTCTAGCACATGAATACCCTCCCGACGAAGCACCCGGCAAAATCACTTTCCTTGAAACCCGCATCTATACAAGGCATAAATCCTGAATCCTTCCCCAAGTCTGAACATGAGCCAATAAGGCCAACCATAGCACACCTTTAACAATCTCTTTGCTTAAATTACCACTTATATCCTTTTTTCGTAGCTTAAATAACCCATCAATATGCTAATAACCAGAAACCTCGCAAGTAGTTAACCATGCAACCCAATCATAGGCGATGGGACTCTCCCACTATTACATACCTCTGGAATTCACCAAGATTCTTTATCTCTTATTGACATGACCTCGCGCAATTAAACCGCCAGATTCCTTGAAATCCTTCCATTAGCACTTCATGAACACCGTGAATTTTCCATCAATATTTACATATTTGACCTCTTACTGGAATGGCCAGTAAAATCCTCTGTAGAAGCTTCGCCAACCACGCGACCGCTAACCTGCTCACAGGGAATAACCCACCTGTGGAAATCACTTTCCGACATCTTCCAACGCTACTACACGGGGTACAATCACTACGACATCAATAACCCATCCTGAGTCCGAGCTCACTCTCCAACTGCACAAGTCCATTCACCCCTCGTGGACATCAATTAGATGTGCAACAACATCTTTCCAATTCAAAGTTATGTTGTATCCTTCTTCATTTCAAGCAGCTCCTTTCCGTTATATCAAATCACCTGCCGCATAATATCTAATGCTCCAAATTAAATCCGTAGGCCCCAATCACCAATCTCTAAAATTCCCAAGTCATTCCAAACTCTCCTCAAGGTGCATGGTCATCCTACGACCAAGCCTATATGCAACTCCGCCACTCTCCCACTTTGGCAGAACTCACCCCTTTAATCGATTACTCGACCTTTGCTTCTTATACTTGGTCTTCTAAAAATTTTAACAACCGCCTGACACTCCCCACATGTCCTTCATCATCCTTTTGCCGCTCAGTTGTTGCCTTAAATAAAATCTATCTTCGTAACATTTGAACCCATAAATCGCTACTAACTTTAAACCTCTCCGAAGATCATTTTTCTCGAGCCGTCAGCATTATAAACACCGATTCAATCCAGAACCACCACACCCCCACGATATCTAACAATTGTTTCTCCAATATTATTTTACAATATCTTACCCCAAAGGCGAATTGCAGAAGACCATAATACCGGCGAACTTAACACATTCAATCGCGGACAACGACACCACATCGCAGATGAAAATCCCATCACACTTGAAATCACCAAGTCTTGTTACTCCATCACTCCAAATCTGGATGTCCCTAGGCCAATTGCTTTTCCTCTACCGGAAATGAAATATCAGATCTCTAAATCTTGCACTGAGTAGGATTCCTTTCAAATCATTCACTGCCCAACACATAGGCAAGTATCCTGCTATCAAGTCATTACTGTGCGATAACCAATCATGATCAATCATAGAAATATGCACATAGCCTCAAAGCTCTTAGGAGTGCAACTACTGAGCTGAAATGGCAGAATATCCTTCCGCAAGACGATGATAATAGCTTAACCAACTGTGCCGGGAGAAACATCCCACACCACATCTGTAGTACCATTAAAATTCTTTAATTCTCGATTTATAATAAGCGCTTCGCGTCGCGTAAGATTGAGTAGGAAGGAAATAACGGCATAAGCCTCAAAGGAATCAAATCGCACGATGAGGAATCAATAAGGGAAGTGCTTTTAACAGTCCTGTAGCCTCTCGAAGATAAGTACAAACGTCTCCGTACTGATCCGCAAGACTCTACTAGACTCACTCATGTCTCGTGAGACCTAAGGTGACCTAGTGCTCTGATACCATTGTCAAGACCCAAATTCCACTAAGGGTCATGATGGCATCGGACACCACTGTCAGGCAAGCCAACCAAAATACTTAATTAAATTCTCGTTTTAATAATTTTGAAAACTATAATTCTCCTTCAATTTTACTAGTAAAAGATAATCGTTTCAAATCAAATATGAATATTAAGCAGTTAATACAAGATACCCATAATCATCCCAGAACCTGGTGTCACAAGTGCATGCGCATTTACTAGAGAATGAAATAAAATATGGTAACTGTCCCGAATACAAAGTAGACAGAAATGAAAAAAATATAGTACAATACTCTGAAGGGGACTCTGCTGGTTGCGGGTTATCTCGATAAATGCAGCTCACCTAAGTCTCCATATCAACCATGTCGCTATGCCACTAAGCCATTAGCCACATATAAAATTGTGCAACAAAAATGCACAGCAAGTGTAGTATGAGTACGAAAACAACGTGTACCTAATGAGTATCCCGTCTAATCTCGAAGAAGTAGAGAGGAGAGGTCGACTTCGACACTTTCTAGTGGTCCAATAGTAATATTATTAATGCGATGAATCACGGATTTATTAAGAACAATAGTAAATTCAAATAAGTCACGAAACAGGTAAAAGTTCCTTTTTATTTAAAAGTCTCAGAATTCATAACCCATTCATTAACAATTAGCTCAAGTCGGGGAGAGCAAATATCAATATCAATAAATCTCCAGGCAAGCAATATAAGCATGTGAAAATCATGTCGAGATCGTAGGGCCCGATCCAACATAAATATAAAATGTGCACTACCGAGGGTCGAACAGCGCGAACCATAGATGCATCTATTACCCCGCTTGCGAATCATACATGCGACGCGGTCAAATTTAAATAAACAATCACCCTGCTCGCGAATCATACATGCGACACAGGTACACATAAAAATACATACTCTAAACAACCAATTAAGAATTTATCGGGGAACATTTATCCAAATAAAAGCCAATTCTCTTTTAACGATTTAAGAAAATGAAGTTTAATCCTTTTAGAAATTCATTTACCAATTTGATAGGATTTAAGCAATTCAACTGTCAATAAGATTACAGATATTCCAAGTATATCATGCTTTTGGGTCCTAGACTACCTGGACTTACATATATTAGTAGCTACGCACAGACTCTCGTCACCTCGTGCGTACACAGCCCCCACAAATAGGAGCACATGACCAATTATTTCACCTATGGGGACAATTCCCTCTTACAAGGTTAGAAAGGAGACTCACCTCGCTCCGAAGATCCATAACCAGCATTCCACGCTCTTCCGAAGACTCAAATCGATGCACAATGCTCCAAAACTAGCCAATAATTATGCAAATCCATTAATATATATTCAATTACTCATTA